TCTTACGGGTCTCACGAAAAACCATTGGTCTCACATGATCCCAAGTCTATATATATATATATATATATATATATATATATATATATATAAAGCATCTTCCACAGGTTTATTATAATTTTTCTAAAATTAAAAATTAAAATCTTAAATAATTACATTATTTCAAGATTTTAACATAAATTATATTATTATAATATTCTCTAATTTATCATCCAGTACAATTTTAAAAATAAACTTTACATGAAATAATAATAATTCAATCTCATTGGTGGGAATGAGTAAAATAATCATTTTATCCGTCTCAACATCAAGTTTTAAAAAATTCTTTAAACTTGGAGGTTTTTTCATGTTTTCTCTATTTTAGATAACATTATAGAGAATCTGTTGGAACAATATAGAGGATAAAACCTCCATTTTCTCTATTTTAGAGAATCTGTTGGATATGCTCTTATAAGAACTATCATTGTAGAGTTTTATGTTGGTTTTTAATTTGATGAATTGGAAATGACGTGACAAAAAAAAAGTTGATTCTTATAAAACATCCATCTGGAGGTGCTCTTAGAAAAAGGTAAAGCCAACAGATATATAAAACATGGTGCTTGAAATAGGTTATTTTATAATCGATTTAAAAACAAACAGCTTGTGATTCAAAGTTGTCGACACGTCATTTCCAGTCAAGCATGCATTAGGAGCTCGCTCGCTCGCTTCCTTTTATTAGTCAATCAGACTTTTTCACACACACAAAAACAGTAGCCCCTTAAAACCCGGCGAAGTCATATCACCTTAGGTCGGACACTTCACTTCGAGTTTAAACCTCCGTCTATGATCGAGCTTAAAAAATAGGTTCTTTTCTGATCAAGTGTTTTTTTTATTTATTTATTTACAGTATTTCGTAATCAAAAAGGAACCAAACAAGAATAACAGAAGTTCAAGTTTCTACAAGAAAAAATCCGTAAGACGGAAAAGACCCTGAATAATAACAAACAAGCGAAGGAAACCACAACGAAAATTAAATACATGAACAAAACTAACACGGAAAATACCGGCCCCCAACAAAAGTGTTGTTTCGAAGAAGCTCGTTATTGATATTTTTAATAGAATTGTTAACAAGAATGAGTCGTTATGATCAAATATATTGGTGATAAATGCTTAAATTATTATATTTTTTATTATCAAATTACCCGGAAATTAGTGAGTTTTTCTAAATAATACAACACTTATCTATTATTTGTGATTTGGGTCGGTTCTGTTTTATATGCAGCCAAGAGGATGAGGCCCATTTCAGTTAAAAGAGAAAAGAAAGGAAGAAGAAACAGCAGCAGCCCAAGGCTGCTGCCCAAGACTAGCAGCGAGAGGAAATCGAGAGAGAGACGTGTGTTCGAGGGAGCTGGTTCGTGGGGTTCGAAGCGGGAGCGAACGTGGGCAGAAAATCGGAG